AGGGCTAAATTCAGGAATTACTAGCTTGGAAATATTGGATTTTTTTTACTTTCATCCAATATCTACTTTAGATCGATTGTTACCAAAGTTGTGGCGAATATTAGCATACGCATTCGCGGACAATTCGAGTAAATTAAAATATCTGCATCCACATGAGCCTCCGCATTGATTAATGCTAATATTCATTGCGGATAGTCGCGTCGTAACATTAATTTACAAACCATCTAAAAACAGACTGCAAGAGCAAAGAGGACCTTTTTGCTCTTTTTGCCTTTGAGGACATCTCGGTATGATTAAGATAGGCAGGCTGATTGATTTCATGCAGGTTCATTTTTTTTCAATAATTTTGTAACGGATGCTAATTTTGTCCATTTAAAAAAAAATGGACAGAGATCTGCCCATTATTGACGATTATTTATTTTTAAAATAGATAAAATAAGCATCCGCATCACCATCTTCTGATGTTTAAGTAAAAAGGTCGGTGTCTGCGTCTGCTGATATGTCCAAAACCTGCTGATGTTGGTTGTTACATTGATTTCTATGAGAAGACAACATTTGTTTGATTTAATTCCGTTGACCTAATAACAAATAAATTATTAAAATTTATTTTTTTCAAATCTTTCGGAACGTCATGCATAGCGTTGTAAAGTTGATCCCCTATAGAAATTGCTTCTTTGTTCGTCAATTTCATTATCCAGCGTGGGAGGCCCGGAACGTGATGACATCTTCATACAGCCGAGAATTACTCCTACAATAAGACTTGTTAAAATCAACTCATGTAGTTGTATAAGTAACGGCTGAGACGAATGATAAATTGTCCCTTTTGCAACTCCGTATTAAACCAAGTGCAATATGATTTTACTACCACGTCTATAATCTAGACTTCTTAATAATTGAGCGCAGTACCTAAATTTAGCAATTGTTACAAAAAGCCTATACGTAGTATGTACGATACAGTAATTTTTTTTCGTTCTACGATTCAACTATACAGTGTACACGATTTAACGTGTGTAAAATGATTTCTAAATACTATTTTAGTAAACAAAGTGACTTACTGTTAAATTATAGTAAAATTGACAAAGACTCGATAAATTGATTTATGGTAACTTTTTGTAGGTACGTTATTGAATTTGGAATGACTAATTAAACAACAAGATAGAATACGAAGCTGTAGAAAACGAATTTCATTAATGTTTGCGCATCTGCTTGCAGGCTGAACTCACTTACAATGTACTTATTTATACTTAGTTAGGTACTTTACTCTGGCAAGTACACGTATTCTAAACGTATTCCATTATATTATACGTCAGTATGTAGGCACATGGTGTGCGTCATACTATCTACATATAAGGACAAAACTAAAACTTAAGGACAACATGTTAGAGCTCTGTTTTCCTCAAAGGTATGTAGTGAATATATATATATATATATATATATATATATATATTTGACTATACGTATCTACGCTCTGAAATGTAGGTATTATTGATTGATACATGGATTACTCCAAAAATTATCGATGGATGCATAAAACGGCACATCGTAAATCTATAAGTATTCTCTATACATTATATAATTATAGACATTTGTCTGGCAATCTCATTTTCCTTCAAGCGATAGGTCGGAATTTGAAAGTACTCTTCAAACGGTCAGTGCCAGGCCTGCCATAGAGTTCATAGTACATCGAGTGTTCAATACTATTGTGTCCGCGTTTTGTGTGGACTTTCCTTTAAAATACAATTCATGGGTAGCATACTTTAGTTGAAGGAATTGTAAAATAAGTTATGTAGGTTAACGCATAATATTTCATATTATGGTCGATATTTAAACTAAACTCACTTTTTAAAAGACGTCCTTGCTCAACAGGGTATGTATATGGGTTGATAGTGACTTCACGTTACACAAATACCATTTACATTACAAATTGTAATTTTTTTAATGTGATCACGTGACGGTACGAACGAGTCGTGCGCCTGGTGGTGAGCGACACGCCTACCTATAACAGTTGCCATGCCACTCAGAATTTAAAATCGTAAAGATCTGAGGGACACTGTCACTGCGCCCGTTACCCAGAGACATAAAGTTGACAAGACCCGTGTGCCTTAATTTCACCAGCACCTTTATCCTTCAAAGCTGTAATGATCACATTACTGCTTAGCGGCGGAAATATGCAAGGTATAATATAACGTTTGTCCTTTTTAACCGACTTCAAAAAGGGAGGATGTTCTCAATTCGATTGCATGTTCTTTTTTGTATGTACGTTACGCGATAACTCCGGTATTTGTGAACCGATTTTCATGATTCTTTTTTTGTTGGAAAAAGGGTGCCTCCATAGTGGTCCCAATTCATTTTGAAGAAAATCATCCACCTCTAAGGATTGCTGTTCGTTCACGCATGAAGATTCATTTTATTTATATGTAATTCCACGTACGTTCGAGGTCGGTTTTTTTAGTACTCTGTACTGAGATTATTAGCGTAATGATTTCAAAAGGTAGGCAAATCTTGACGAATAGCCATGTTTTATTTACTTATAAGTACGCATAACATCACTTTTCCTATATTTTTACGAGCATATTAACCTTGGAAGATTAGAAATGAAGTAAAAGTTTTAATAATGCCTGCGTGACTACTAAGAAACCGTGAAAGGTTATGGAATGGAATTGTATTGAAGTTGAATTAAAGCCATCAAGCGTTCTCATGATGATTACTATAGATCAAGGACCTTACGTGTGAATAGAACAATAAGGTTTCACCATTATGAACTTTGATTCAATTTCCTTCACTATAACGTTACTTATATTCAAATGTAAACAAGCGTGAAATTCTTATTAAGTACATGTATTTGAGTACCTCTTAAAGGCTGTCAAAAACCTTGAAAACTGCGTTATAGTAGGAAAAATATATTATTCAATTAGATTCGTGTTAGGTAAATAAAAATACGTACTTCTAATTGCATCTGACTTAATAATAACATTATTGTTATCGAAATTCCCCGTTAGTTTCGCACATTTTCGGTGTTTTGTAGAAAGAACGAAAGCGCTATTTCGGAAAAAAAATCATGGGAGCATGGTTTAGTTTTTACCGACTGTTTTAAAATATTAACGTTCTGTTTTAAATTTAATTTTAAAGCAAAAAACCAAAATTTAAAACCGAACGTAAATATTTTAAAACAGCCGTTAAAACCTTAAAACCTGCTCCCGTGAAAACTTTTTCGAAATGGCGCGGCGCTTTCGCTCCTTCTACAAAACAATGACGATAAGCTTTCGCGATTGCTACACATTGGAAATGAAGTTTTTTTCTGATCTCATCCTATATTTCTGCCCTCCTTGTCATTACTAACGCATTTGCATTTTGGTAACTATCGAGATATCGTAGGGGATAGAGCAATCCGCATATGTAGTATTGATAACAAGCGCTCATCTGCACTAAATCAAATTTCACAGGAGAGGGATTAAACTTTATTATTTATTTGTTTAAAATAGCTACGACTTTCATTTTTGCACAGTGAGCATTAATTCATGTTCATGTCTACGGACTGATAACAATAACAACTCTTAAATCACGTTAATTTGGTTGCCACGACATTTACGCGGGTTTGATTTGGCCATAAAATTAGCAAAATGGAAACTCATAATCAAATGCTAGTTACGCGTAATTGCACTATCCCCGACGATATGGCACCAAAACTACGTGGGTTTTGATGAACAATAAAACTGAAAGTAACTAAGATATAAAAAAACGCTTATAATGGGTTGTGGATCTCGTTTCGCTGTGTTTCCAGATGTGTTAATAACTCAAATTTTTTTTTAAGTTAAAAACGTTAAAAATATCAATTAAGTTACTTATGATAAAGAGGGCAGATTTATGTTTCTAACAAACCAATGTTTCGGGCACTTTACAGATTCCTTATCAGTCAGCCGCAACTAAGGAGCCTGAAAATGTTGATTTGTTTAAAAAAAACAAATGTACATGATTAAAATAAAAAAATGTATAATTTCCGATATAAGTACAAAGATGACTGTTTGAATCATAACACTTTATTATGCGGACTTATTTTGTGACCTTTTGAGGTTTCTTTACTAATGTTGAGCCCACACTTGTTGCCATAAGTGGACGATCTTGTTCGCATCCGCGTTAATGACCCATGCCATGCTCGGATACAAGGATTTAATTTAATATACCAATATGTCGCCGAAACGAAACACTGGACAAGTGTCTCAACTTTCATAATTTTAAAAATCAGGCCGTTTTCAGTGAATGATCAACAAAGGTGGCTATTATCGCTTCACTTCGCTAGACACCTAACGGTTTTAATGACTTGCCTTTTGTTAGATAGTATTTGAATTTGCAATTTGCAGCTGAGAATCGTTAACTCTTTTTCTTTTGCACTGATTACCATTTTGCACAACAATGTGTGATACTACAATGCGACGGATTAATCATCTAATGGATGGCGAATCACAATAGGCACCGCAACATGCATACCGTATAGGCAATAAACTGAGGGTGCGTTGAATGCAGCACGATGAAAGATCTAACAACCTTATTCATCTCTCCATACATCGAATTTTATCCTTACAGAACTTAGCAATAGGGATGTTAGAATCTGCATAATGTTTTTTGGTGCAGTTGACTACCGGAGTGTGGCGAACTGCGAGGGTCTAAGGTACGAGGGGACCGAAAACCCTCCAGTGTTCAATGTAACAAACAATATTTTTTTTACATTTACTTATCGCTTTACAGCTGACTGCATGATACATAAATTTTTATTTAAATTAAACATTTAGTAAGTAATATACAAAATAACACCATCATAATATAGGGAAAAGCGCGCCAAATTTGTGACGTGAAGTAGAGTCGTTGACTTCAAACATTTCATTTGAAACCGTTACATTTGTACTGTAAATTTTAAATTTAAAACATAACACACATTATCAACACAAAACATCAAAACGATAATAACTATTAGAGAACAAAAAACTTTGACAACTACAACTTACCAGAAGTGTAATGTAATGATAACCAATAAAATTAATTAATCCAACTGTGATGCGATCGTTAAGCACTGTAATTCAAAAGTGATCATCTTTCAGTTTTGGGAGCGACACAGAATATGTATGTGCGGGCTCTGCATGTCTGCAACTCAAATTCTGTCTGCACTCAAGTTCACCGAATATCGATCGCGACGATGCATTCGACACAATCACCAGACGCAGCGCACGCCACACGTTCACTACGAACGAACGTCGAATTAATACTAACATAACCTCAAAATTACGAGCGCGCCGTTCAAGAAATTGTTTATACTGCCTGTCTGTCTCTGCGTATACCGGCGAATAGGGTTCAAAGTGACGAAATAAAAAATACCGTGTTCTATTGGAAAGAAAAAGACAGAAATAATTTAGGTTTCAAAGTTGTAGAGTGTCTTTCTACTAGGCAATTTTAATAATTTATAGATTTTACATTAAGTTATCTATTTACAAAGTTTTATTTACGTTTTTTATAAGAACTGTTGTTACCGCATTTTCGAAACATCGGAAACGAGTAGTCTTGTAATGTAGAGCGATAACGTAAACGGCAAATATAGCACAAGTTTCCTACAAGTTACGCACTTTATTGTTAAATGGTCCATTCACGAAATGTATTGTATTCTGCTTATCTTATTCGTAAAAAATGTAGTGTAAATATTCGAACAAATGTAATAATTTTATCTACACTGCAAATATTGCAATCGCGTTATCCGATGACTTTTAAAGTTCGTTAAAAATCCAATTTAACCCATGAAATTAATAAAAGCGTTTTTATATATAAGCAGACCAATTATACATATATCATTCTAATACAGAGTTTTTGCCATTGCCACTTTGGTATGGAGACAAGTAGGTGCGACAAAACAAAAACTTTTATAGAGACTGCATTTTGTGTACCTGCGCAACGTTTCCCAAGGGTACCATTCCTGGCGCGTACAGGGACCATTCAAGCGTGAAGAATGAATGATTTTAACGAAAACCTGCTTTAAATTCTTGCCACTCTACACATTCAATGTGGCTTTTGTACACATAGTAAATAGCTTTTTTTTGTATTGTCTTTTGTACTCTAACAAAGCGTTAGCAATTAATTATCGAGAGGTTGTTGTTGCTATTTTGGGAGTGTAATACCATTAGTTAGGATCGTGGTGGTCTTTGTGCTAACTCTTTCATTAGGTACAGAGATTGTCAAGGTTAGCTTGGGAGTAGGTGGAACCCACACTGTTTCGAGTCACGGCAGCTTCGCAAGGCTATATAGCTGACATTTCCATTATAAGTACATATTATGTACATTTAGGGAACACGTTAGATAATATTTAAATTTGTTTTAAGCAACATTGCGTAAACAAAACTGATACATATAATTTCCGGTTTGTGTCTTTTTTTTTAAGACTTTTATAAAGTTACATTATACTAATGAAAACAAAAAGATTACTGGAATGTTTTTCAAGTTAAATTATTCTTTAACACGGTGACCACCGACAAAGGTATCAATGACACTGTGTATAAAGGAGATTAAACAACTTTACCAATAAATCTAAAGCTTATTGTCAAGTTTTATTACTATCACGATGAATAAAAGTTTAATATTCAAATTGCGCCTTGACCTGCATGAACTTTATTTGCCTGGTCCTAAAGTGAGGGCTAGTGGCGCGTGCTTCCTGCGTAAGCGCGTCTGGAGGGGCACATGCGCACGCGCACGACTCCCTGAATGCGTGTCGAAAGGTAGGGTATGTTGTGTGCCTTTTTAGTATAGGTTGCTTCAAAAAGTAATAGCACAGGTAATAAAAATATTTTGATGCTCTACTTCTTTACATAAAGAAATTGGGGAATACTTTCCTGTACGTCTGGTGTAACCTGGGCAACAATTCGCGAGTACCTTACACCACGATGGCAAGCATTTTAGTATGCATGCCATTGATACGATAAAAAAGTGTTAAACACATGACGCCCTTAACGTACTGATATTAATTGATTTCATTGCATTTAATGCAGTATTGTGAGAACGTTAATTGATAGGTTATATAGGTATGTGGTTTACATATTTAATGATTTGTTATCGAAAACATACAAAATTGTTTTATTACTTCAACATTTGGCTTATCGTATTGACTCTCTGGTTTCTTCTGTCTTCGTTATTTTTTGTAATAATAACGCACACACTCAACGTAGCCACGCACTAGGGAAACCCTGTATCGCGAGTGACATGGACACACTCATAGACAACCACAAATTACATCCAAACCCACGAGAGAAATAAATGTAGGCCATACAAATATTTCTTCCGGCCCGGGAATCGAACCTCAGCGTGGCAGTCCGGTATGGTAACCGTTGGGCCACAGTGGCAGTTAAAATGTAAATATTTTTTTCAACAATAAGTATCGTGTTATTTATGCAAAGTATAAGCAGAAATAAAACTGTACTGCACTGTATACCTTAGTATAAGTGTTAAAAAAGTACAACATTGAGTCGTGGCGACGCGACGTTATCAGATCATGCTGTGTACAATAGTTTGGAACACGACCGTAGGTGTGGGCGCTTAGTTTATTTTCTTCAAGTCGTAAACCAGTTTAACTGAGCAGTCGACAAACGTATTGTTATCGAAGAAAACATGATAAACTTTCTGAACTATTTTATTTTTCTATACGAAGAAATAAGTTTGTCGAACTGTACCAGCCAGCCGTTCGAACATAACATGTTACATTACACACATAACTTATAATAATGTACAGTGTTTGATCGGTGTACGCATCTACAAAGGTTGTAATTACAGTAATTTACCCAATCAAAGAGAAAATTATGCGTTTCGAAATTGTACAGTTAAGTTTTTAACAGATGAATGACATGTAGAAAATATTACAGTATTACATATTTAATTGTATTTTAGTTATTTTATCTTTAGGTGAACTGTCCACCTTTTATACGTATATAGATATTGGACAATGGACAGTTATACGACGGCCTCCGTGGTCGAGTGCTTGCACACCGGTTTTCATGTGTCGCCATCTCAGAGGTCCTGGGCTCGATCCTCGGCCGGGTGAATGTAGTAAACTAACTTTTTTATATAGTCTCGGGTCTGGGTATTTATGATACCATCCTTGTTTCTGACTTCCATAACACAATTGCATATGTGATGTTGTCTAATATTTATTTATATTTGTTATACATATATTCGGTATAATATAAATATAAGTTCCAGTTATATAAGTTCTTTACAGGAAATTTTTACTGCTGAGTTCAGTCGCTTTTGAGAGCGTTCACCTCTTTATTAGGCAAAATATGAGGCATGTAAGTGCGCTTTGTTTTAATTTCGAGTTCACCGGCGTGTTATTGTTCCAGACTGCTGGGCACGGAAACCATGGCCATTACGAACGCATTCTAACCGGGAATTTGGTCGAAATATACAAGAGGAAACGCCATGTAGCCAAAACATTTCATATTAGTGCTGAGTCATGTAGAATTCGATTTAATTGTTCACACAAAGGAAACTGCTTAGTCGTCTTTTTAAAGAATTTCAAAATATTAAAGTTCAAGTGTATCTTATTGTAGCCGGGAAGAAGGTACCGTTGAACGTCTTTGGCAAAGCCTATTGTGTCGATAGATTGAAAATGACTTTAGAATTTCGATTTGAAATAATTTTTATTTAATTTATTTACATTAGTGTCCATGTTCGAAACAATTTTAAGCACACATTCATTTACTTTCATTCATTATGTAATAATAACAATTAGAAAACTAAACAATTTTGTAAATATATGTAAAAGGTACCTACCAGAAATAACCTCTTACTTAACAAAGATTCTGTCAATGACAGGCCATCCAGCAGCGTCAGACAGGAAGTTAAACGTAAACAGAAGGCGACACGTGTTGACTATTATAATTAACACACAGGTTTATCTTTTGCTTTGAGCAGTAAAAATATGATCCCTGTTTAGTATATGGTGTAAAACAACAGCTAACGTAGGTAAATATGTACATTAATCGATTTATAGCTTCTTCATTAAAAAAGGCAGGTGACAAGCGCAAATGTGAACAGCACGTGCTCGTCACAGACAGGTGCATATCGACCTCGATATTTTTAATTCTAATTACTAATAATTGCTCAAACGATAAACAGCAGATGCCGTTGATAAAGTAACGGGAAATAAACGTACTTTTTGCACAGTTTTAACAACAAAATGTTAATCTTTATAGGTATTAAAGAATAAGAAACGGCCAAACATAAACCTGAAGAATGAAGTTCTCACCAACAGAAAAGTTGAAGGGTACTCCGAGGCACTCAAACACCTACAGCTCGTTATATTGTCAGACAAAAGATAACATCAAAAACAAGCATCTCCCATTGCGAGTTGGTGGAATTGTGGCGTCATGTCGTGTCGTGCCCTTCGCCACTCCTGTCATTTGGAATGTTCAAGGTAGCACTCGAGGGCCTTTTCATTTGCATTATGATAACTTGACAACTAGCGTTAGTCATCGAGATTTTCAACCAGTTTTTTATAGGATAATATTGTATCCTTGGTATATTAAATACACATATAATAAAGTTAAGATAAAGAAGGATACTACTTTCGTTCGTAAAATGCTAAAACCTCCAATACGATATGATATAATAAAACAAAACAAAAATAATTGTAAACAATGTACTCACTGACTGTTTAAATAGGGTAAAATAATATTTACATGTCTATAATATTTATATAGTCTCGAAAGCGTTGTGATGCTTTCAAAATTTAATTAATAGAGCTGCCTCATGTTTAAGTCACTCTGTAAATAACTTTACAGTTCATAAAGTACGTCCTTACAAATGGCTTGGAAAGTCGGCATAATAAATCTTAAACATTAAATTCTGCTTATTCGTTTCACACAGGACCAAATAATTGTCCTGATGACATCATAATCTGGTGGTCTCGCTTGGTGTATTATGCGAATTAAGTCGTCCAGTCACGACCGTGATTGTCTTTTTGTGTATATATATGTATGTAGACCATTAGTTATACAATGTGATCCATTAAAGGTTATTTTGAATAGGAGCGGTTTTAATTCAAGGTTACATACACGCCATTGTGGAATGACCTTTGTTTACAGGTATGTTTAGTCCTTCGATAGTCAGTTTTGTGTAAAC